GTAAACATTAGAAAGGAAGCAGATCGGAAGGAACACTTTGTCAGATGTTGCACGTAAGAAGTGACAGTGCTCTGAAGCTTGTGAAAGCCAGGTGCTCCTATCGATTCACATTCTTGAAAGACATTTTGTGCGGGGTCAGATTTAATGCTTGATTTCTTTTAAAAATCATGATTTGCTAGAAGAGCAGGGATTTATACAAATCTAGCTTTGCTGGTGAAATAATAGGCTAATATTAACAGAGTTCTAACTTGATTTTAAATCCACTGAATATTGGTATCCTGATGCACTAGGACCACTGTAAAGAGGTGTTTGGAAAATGAGAGATTTGAAAGGGGAAAACCACCTAAACAGATGCAGGATGTGGAACCCGACAGTGATCATAATGCTTTTATATTATATTATAGTGATTATAATTTTCAAAAACAAGCTAGAAGTATGACTAGCTGGGTCTATGGACGGGTACAGATTAGGTACTGTTAAGGCCAGAGAAATATGTAAAGGCAATCTCTAGGAAAGGGGTCTGTATATTATTTGTATCCCACTGTTCTGACGCTAACAAAATCATGGGAATGGAAAGTGTCCATTACATCACAGTGTTTTTTGTGAATTGCCCACACTTATTCGGACCAATCTAAGGTTCTGGTGCATTTCTCTGTTACAGTGTTACTTGACTATCTTGGTCCTACTGAACATAAATATTTGTAATGTCACATCTGAGCTCCTGGTAATTTCCAATACAGATTTTTGTCTCAGAGCCCTGAATTCCCAAACCTTTCTGAATGACAAGGATTAGACTATGTCCCTTAGCAAGGGAGCATTTTCTAGTAAAAAACATAAAGGAGGGAAAAACAAGAAAAAATGAAAGGCAGTGTCTAATCTGGGGAACATAAATCTTGAAAGTGTCTCCAAACAACCCAGAACAAATTCATACTCTTTCAAACTAAAAAAACAAACAATTCCCCCCCCCCCCCCAAAAAAAAAAGTGCCCTGACAATTGTTGTGTTTTTGATTATGTTAAAGAATGTGTTACCTTTTTCTTCAAATTCTTGCACAATATCTTTCATCCTGTCTTGGTAGTATGATTCCCCTCTCTCTATTAGCGTAATATCCAAGCAGTCATAGATTTTTTGGAACTCTGAGTAGAGAAACCAGAGAGAACGATTTAAAAAAACACATACACAATTCTGACTGACTGTGTTTAGGACTTAAAGCAAATAGGCCCCTGACTGCAATGAGAGAAGAGTGGTCTTGACTTGAGGGTAGGCCAGTGGCCTGGGAACCAAAAGATCTGAGTTCCATTACAGTTCTTTGGCAGACAATCTGTGACTTGACTTCTGTGCCTGACTTCCCACCTATAATAGAGTTACTGTACTCCCTTACCTTAGGAGTGGTGGGGAGGCTGAATCTATTAGTAAATGTGAGGTGCTCAGATAATAAGGCTATAGGTCAGCAACTTAAAATTCTGAGCTATACTGGACAGAGCACTGCATTACAGAGGTGAGAGAGATGACCTGACATATGGAAGTAACAGTTGATAAATAAAACAGGCCACAGCGATACTATACTATTCAGTAAAAGTGTAAACATCTCAACAAGCTGTCAGAAAGGAATGAAAGGTTCTGTCTCCTTCTGAAACACAGGTAATTAAACAGAGGTGCAGGAAAGAATGGGTCTCAGATATTTTCTTTGGAAATGAGTGATTGATGACCACCATTCCAGACAACACTCTCAATACCGTTTGGGGCAAATCTGAGGATCCCAAGGTTTTCAAGTGCAGCTATATTCATTTTAAGTAAATGTTGCAACCAGCTCTGATGTTCTGATAGGTACGATGGAGTTCTATAGAGCAAACCTTCCTCAGCCATATGCTCTTTTTTATCAGAATGAATTTTATCAGCTTCCAAAGAACAACTTTACGTCTCAGATCCACATAAAACAAACATTGGTTTAAAGAAAAAGGCACTAATTCTAACTGTTACCTTTCCGAGATACATCACAGATCAGCTTCCATGCTTTAATGAAGTCTGGATTTTTGCTCTGTAATAGGACCACACACTGGTAGGCACGTTTCTTAAATTCTTCTTCTGTATCAAATCTCCGCTTAGATTCCTAGGTTAAAAACCATGCACAAGAGTAAGTATCTCTCCTACGCCAAACCGGATTTCTGACATTCTGTTTTAGAGCAAATGTTTACTTGATGGAAGGGAAGCAGTGTGGCCTAAGGGATAGGGTAACAAATTATTTTTATTAAACTAGCACACAATTCCTGAGACAGATACATGTATATCATAAAGTATCAAACTACAATAAACTAATAGTTTACTTCTTTAACAAATCCAGTTACAATTCATTTTGTTTCAACAATGTTATGCTGATCATTGACAACAGTTCTTAATTATTGCTTGATTTAAAAGTAAGAGGAGAATAAGTGAACATTTTAGCTAAGTACCTTGTAAAAGGCTTGGAGATCTCCAATGGGGGGTGAAACAGTCAGGTAATCGGGAAATTTATCTTGGAGATGAGCAATGAGCATTCCAAACTGGGTACCCCAATCTCCTAAATGGTTTAATCTGGCCAACAGTCAAAAAATGCAAAACAAAATTATGCATCATGTGAGAAATCAGAACTCAAACAGGCTGAACACTGTGGGAGGGGAAGGGGTTACACTCAACTGTGTGGCCACTGAGGGAATTAGTTAGGATGTAGTTTTAAGTTGTACCAAGGCTGGCTAGAGGATTTGGACAGCAGAGATGTAAAAGGAGAGCTGGTTAACCTCGCTCTTAACAGGTGAGGCTTATGGGTTCCAGTTAACCGGTAGGGGCTAGTGCAGCTCTCCACCCGTCCTGGGCCCATGTGTGGCAGGCCAAGCTGCCTCTTCCTACCCTCCGCTGCAGGTCGCATGCTGGCTTCCTGGGAATGAAACCGACTGCAGAGCCCACAGCAAAGCCTCCCAGGAAACGGGGCCAAACCGACTGCAGAGCCCACAGCAAAGCCTCCCAGGAAGCAGAGACAGCAGCAGAGCCTCTTCCCCGGGAGTGGGGCTGGCAGCAGAGTCAGCAGCAGAGCCTCTTCCCTGGGAGCAGGGTTGGCAGCAGAGACAGCAGCAGAGCCTCTTCCCTGGGAGCAGAGCCTCTTCGCCGGGAGCAGAGCCGGCAGCAGAGCCTCTTCCCCGGGAGCGGGGCTGGTTCCCAGGGAGGCTTCGCTGCGGGTTCCGCAGCATAAAGCTTATGTAAGCTTTACACTGCAGAATCCGCAGTGCATGTAACCACTGTGATTTTTTAGAGGTTACACGATTACATTTTAACCACGCTTTTATATTCCTACGGGAAAGGCATTATTGGTGCACAATCTGAGATAAACAAACGTGTCCCCCACACTCAGCTGTGCTCACCTCAGAACATCATAGCCCACAAACTCAAATAGACGACACATGCTGTCTCCAATAATAGTTGAGCGCAGGTGACCAACATGCATCTCTTTGGCAATGTTAGGGGAAGAGAAGTCAACCACCACCTTGGACAGGGCAACAAACCAACAGGGAAACACATGATTAAATGCTGAACCATACGACGTACTGTTCTCCAGGGGAGATTTTCAAAGTTGGGGATATGCGCCTCATGAATATGTGCAATCACCATACTGGCATATGCAAATGAGGTATCTGCACGTGGCAAACAATTCATTTCAACTGACCATTTGTGCAAGTTCAAATTTTCTGTGTGTGTATATCATTTTGCACTTTGGGGCTGGTTTGCAAATCAGGCTTTAAATGTCTAGAGCTCTTCTGGCTGCACCATATTTTTGTCTGAAAATCACACACATCTCTTCTTACATGCTAAAAAAAATCTTTAGTAATTAAAAATAAACATTCCCCTTTTTCACATTATAGGACAGGGTTAAAAAAGTAGAACAGCCACCCAGTAAGCTGGCACATCAAATGGCCTCTAAATGTGGCTTCAGCAAAGAATTCATAGCAAAAACGCCCTTTTAGTCTCAATCCTGCAACTCCGATCCATCAGCACAGACCCGGGTATCCCAAGGAAACTTATTCAATTGTGTGTGAAGGAGGAGCATTTAACAAACAAGAAGAATCTACAGAGTTTTTTTATGTTATATATTACGTACAAAAACATATGTTAAAAGAAATGATTAAGGTGGTACTCAGAAGTTAGGAAATGCCAGATGGGAGGCCAGACTCTGTGTGCATTTTCGTTACAATACACATTTCAATTACATAATGACGTGTTATTTTTCCCTAGGATTCCTGCCTGGTTCAGTGCCCAGGATGGATGGTGTTCACTTAATGAGATGCTATTCAGTATTTTGTTTTCTCATTATTTAGTGTGTGGCCCTAGGTCTTATCTGCTGCACACTAATCAAACCCCTCTCTGAAGACAGAATTATTACTCTCCTCATGGGCTTTTCCATGGCACTATCTCTATAGCATCTGAGAGCTTCGTGTACAATTTTCACCCATATGCAACGAGGGGATATCAATCCTGTTTTACAGAATTGGGGCAGAGAGATTAAGGTTAAAAGTTTCCACTAATTTGGAGTGCTCAATTTAAGGTGTCTAGGACATGATTTTTCAGCACACACAGCATTATATATGACTTTCTGCTTTTGTGGAAAAACTTGCCAGCTGTCTACACTGGCCGCTTGAATTTGCATAAGAGCACTGATGATCTAATGTAAGATTGTCAGTGTTCTTGCGCAAACACTACGCTGCTCCCGCTCGGGAAAAAGCCCTCTTGCGCAAATGCTTTTGCGCAAGAGGGCCAGTATAGACAGCTAAAAACTGTTTTGCGCAAAAAAGCTCCGATGGTGAAAATGGCGATTGGGGCTTTTCTTGCGCAAAACTGCGTCTAGATTGGCACAGACACTTTTCCGCAAAAAGTGCTTTTGCACAAAAGCGTCCGTGCCAATCTAGACGCTCTTTTCTGCAAATGCTTTTAACGGAAAAACTTTTCCATTAAAAGTATTTGCGGAAAATCATGCCAGTCTAGACGTAGCCTATATATTTAGAGCATAGCTCCCATTAAATTCATTTTCAGCTGTCAGTGCTCAGCACTTCTGCAAATCAGACCCCTGGGTCTCACGCCAGACCCTCAGAAAATGAAGAACATGCATTAATGACACCTGTGAAAAGTCTGATTCAAACACATTTCTTAGCATCACAACAACTCTGGAACAGGCCAGGATAGAATCCAGTTCTCGAAGGCAGCACTAAAATGCACAAGCATCCTTAATGCTGGCATTTCTGAACTTTTGAAGAGTTGACTTTCCAACCTCAATAACATTCTTAATAGTTTTTCAGTGTGTAGATTCCTAGATTTTTCAAAGCACATGGGTCATCAGCAGGACTGAAACCTTTAGCTCTGCTGCACAGCCCTCCCCCTCTTGAGCTGAGTAACTGGCACAAATAACAAGGTGTCATCTTCTATGTGTGCACCACACAAGGAGATGAGACAAACACTTTGCCCATGGTCTGCTGATAGCAAAGGAATAGTGAGACTGTCCCTTTCCCCTTGGCAACTCAGTTGCCACTCCTCAGGCTTTTCATCGGAGTCTCTTTTCAAGTCAGTTCTAGTCTCCCTCTCTGCATCAAGAGCGACAGACTGGCCCTGTTAAAATAGTAACTTGTGTATTTGTAGTTGGAATGCGTGTCAAAAGCTCAGTAAAAAAGTACATGCATACCAAGCAAAATCGTGGTCATAACCATTCATCAGCACTGCTATTGGACTGAGTGCAGTATTGAGACTTCAGTGAAAGTTTACTAGCATACCTTTTTCCTGTTTTCAATTGCTGGTGGTTGAACTCCATTCACCAGTAAACTGCTGAGTTGTTTGGACACAAAATCCTTTCTCAAGTGCACATTAATAAAACCTTTAAAGGAAAAACATCAGTTGTTGGAACTGTAAAAGAACCCTTGAAAACCATCTGATTTTGTTCAGTACCAAAGTTTTCAGTTCACTAGATAGAAAGAAAACACTGTATTTAAAACTAACCCCAGAATGTCTTAAACTTCTTGGGGTTTTTTTTTTCTGTTACAGAAACATGATCACACACTGAAAAATCAATTGAATTTTCCGGTTTTGGGAGACTCTTTTCCACAAACAAATACCTAGTAAACAAATAAGTCTATAAACTATACATTTCAAATGCTACAAGATCACTAAGAACATACTCTGTTTTGGGGATTTCGTAGTCAAGCGTGAACTCAAAAGTGAGACATTTGAAAAAAAATATTTCTTGGGGTGTTTAACTCTTCACTACATCTTGCAAACACATACACATACACATTACAGTCAGCTGTCCCAGTGAGTTATGTCTATACTTGCCCACAGGATGAGGCCTTACTATGTACAAGTGCAATCAATTCCTACATATTTAAAACCAAAGTGTCACATTTAGAAAAATTCAGACTTTGCAGAACATTTGAGCACTGCTTTGATTTTCCTGAGTTGCAGGACTAGTAGAGATTCTCTTCTCCATTCAGCCCCCAAATACATCATTTTATTCAGGGCTTATGAAAGGGGTCAGATTGAAAGCCAAGAAGACTGAAGTCTTCCAATGTTTCAAGCATGAGCAGTAGCAATGTAATCCTTTCCACACTTCTCTGCCATCCTGCCTTACCTCTGAGCTGGAAATATCTCCTCTGAGGATGTGAGTACAGTGTGGGTTGGGTTCCAGGCCCAACTGTTTTCTCCCAAGACAGCCAACAAATGTCTTGGGAGAAATTCTGATGGTGATTAAATACTACTGAAAAAACCTAGAAAATGACAGGGGGGAATCCTGATCCCAGTGAAGCCAATGGAAAAATTCCAATTGGCCTCCATGGGACCAGGATTTCACGCAATGATTCTAATACACGTGCTATTAAGTAGATTGTATGCTGCCAAGTTAATCGGGCAAAACTGAATTTAATTCAGATTTTAATTCTGTTTATAAAGCTAAAAAATAATTAAACTAGATTTTGTCCCCTTTTACGGCTAGTTAGCAGAACAGCTGCAAAATCAAAATTAAATGTTGGGAAGGTACAAAAATAGAGTGATCATACCAGGACCAGCAATTTCAACCTTCGCAATGTATTCATTGTCAGGAATGTGTCTGGAAATGTTTTCAGCAATTTCTCTTGGGCTCACTTTCTGTTCGTTGGTTTTGGAAAGCATCTGAAATGGAACGAGAGGATTCAGTACCATCTAACCCTGGGGGAATCTGATGGAAAATAAAATAGAGTCTGGGCTGATACCCCATTGACAAGACCCACTAAATTCCTCACACCTTATAATCTCTGTGGCATATTAAGTAGGGATGCTAGATATCGTGTAATTGAATAGTCATGTAACAGCATGAAATCTTAGCAGTTATATAACTATTTGATAGTCCCTAGGGGCGGGACCAGCAGCCAGTGCGCTCCCAGCCCCACTCCTAGGAAACCCCTGCCATCCTGGGTTGCTCCCTCTGTATCAGGGGTGGCAGGTGGGAGCTAGTCCACCAGGGGAGCCAGTTTAAAAACCAGATCCCTGCGCATGCCAGCTGCCTGCCGCCTGGTGCTGCTGCCTCTGACATAGAGGCAGCAGGGAGTGGGGGGAGATGCGTGTAGTCAACAAGACTAACCGATAAGCCCAAGCTTATCAGTTAAATATGTAGTTGACTACACAATGACATCCCTAATATTAATGACTTAGTTCTGTACGTGTGCTACACATGGCATTCCCATGCGAGTTAATAGGAGTGCTATGCCGGATCCTGTGTCTTGGCGGGCAATATTTTGCCCAGGCCTGGTCTAGACCCTCCCTGATAGATGTCTATATAATCTGCTCTTAAATATCTCCAGAGATAGAGAATCCACGGCCTCCCTAGGCAATTTATTCCAGTGTTTAACCACCCTGACAGTTAGGAAGTTTTTCCTGATGTCCAACCTAAACCTCCTTTGCTCCAGTTTAAGCTCATGGCTTCTTGTCCTATTCTCAGAAGCCAAGGAGAACAATTTTAATCCCGCCTCCTTGGAACACCTTTTTAGTCCTTTCCAAACTAAACAAGCTCAATTCTTTCAGTCTTCCCTCATAGCTCATGTTCTCTAGACCTTTAATCATTTAATCATTGGACCCTCTCCAATTTCTCCACATCTTTCTTGAAACGTGGAGCCCAGAACTGGACACAATACTCCAACTGAGGCCTAATTAGCACAGAGTACAGCAGAAGAATGACTTCTTGTGTCTTGCTCACAACACTCCTGTTAATGCATCCCAGAATCATGTTTGCTTTTTTTGCAACAGTGTCACACTATTGACTCATATTTAGTTTGTGGTCCACTATGACCCCTGAATCCCCTTCTGCAGTACTCCTTCCTATATGATCACTTCCCATTCTGTATGTGTGAAACTGTTTCTATCTAAGCGGAGCACTTTTCATTTGTCCTTATTAAACGTCATCCTATTTACCTCAGACCATTTCTCCAGTCTGTCCAGATCGTTTTGAATTATGACCCTATTCTCCAAAGCAGTTGTAACCCCTCCCAGCTTGGTATCATCTGCAAATTTAATAAGAATACTCTCTATGCCAATATCTAAATAGTTTATTAAGATATTGAACAGAACCGGTCCCAACACAGATCTCTGCAGAACACCATTTGTTTTGCCCTTCCAGCATGATTGTGAACCATTAATAACTACTCTCTGAGAACAGTTATCCAGCCAGTGATGCACCCACCTTATATGTAACCAGCTAGTTTCAAATATTGTCTTTGATCATCATATGCCTGCTTTCACACTGCTCAAATATAGGTAGTGAGGTCTCACTAGCATATGTAAAGTGTTAATTTGCATATGCTGTGTGAACCCCCAGAAAATCTTCATGGCTACTTTTGAAAGTCCCATTCATCATCATCATGGCAAATCTCAAAGGAACAAGTCCTTCCTGGAAATTGAGCACCAACAGATTGATCTCCAGGAAGGTGCTTTAAGTGGTCTGATTATAATGTCAATCTCTGGCAACCTTGTTGTGCCATCAAAACTTTTGGCACCTATGTGATTACTGGTACACGTACTTCAGAATTCATTGGTCTTCTATTCTTATAATATGTGCATACCTAGCAAGCTTCTGAAACTGAACCAGTGCTGGTGGAGGCAGCTGATCGGTTTGGCTTCATATGTAGTTTCTGATATTGTCCTTCACCGAAAGCATAGAACACAGCTGACAGAGACACCGCTGAGGCAAAAATGATCAATGAACCTTGCAAAAAGTCATTCAGGTAGCCCGTGTATAGGGGACAAAAGGATGTCTGGAATAGAAAATATCCAAAACAGCTAAAGCTATGCACCTCGTCAGTTGCAAATAATGTTGAGGATGATATATTTTGTTCCTAAGTCGCCCCGATTAAACGCTTGGGCATCTGAGCCTTTTCTAGGCTTGAGTTTTGTTTGTTTCAGATTACAGTAATTAGTCAACCTGATTTGAAGCACCATACAGCACCTAATGAACGCCTTTTGAACCATGCTAGTTTGTCTTAGCTATAACCTGAGCTCCTTCATGGCTACCCTATAACCAGCTAGTGTGATTTGAACTGTGCTTACACTAAGCATGGAATGCAGTTTCAAATCATGTTCACTAACTGACGTTAAGATAAAAACAAAAGCACTCCTGAAAGCACAAAATGGGAAAAGTAACTTAACATCACTTTTAAAAATAGTAGTGACTAATTCCCCCTCCATCCTGGACAAATACATTTTGGGGATTTTCTAACCATTCAAACACATGTGAGATCACTGTACTGAGTAAAAATGACATGGTGCAAAAGTGCTTTGAGTAACTTTGTCTGGAGTGGAATGGAATGATATTTAGAAACAGTGAGGGCAGCCGTGTCTGGTGTGTACTGCATTATACAGCAATGTGTTTGAACATCCCACTAACTCAATCCCCAGTCTTGAAAACAGGTTATTAAGTAAGTAAGTTCTGTCCACATTGTCCCTCAAATGTTTCACTTGTCTAAAATCTGGGCATGTCGGTCCTCTATAAAGCACCAAAGCTTCATACAAATCTTCAAAATGTACTTTACGAAATGTAATGAAGATCAGATTTTAAAACAAACATTCCCCTGCCCAGTTTTTAACTTAGACATCACAACAGTGTGAGAACCAGAATGTGAAACTAACTAGAAAAACAAGAAAAGTTAGAAGAATTTATATGAAAAATAAATATGAAATATAAGCAGAGATGGGCAAATCAGAATTTTAAAATGTTTATTTTTTATAATTTAAGATCTTATTTTTAAGAAGTGAAGGAAATGTTTTATATAGCATTTTTTTCTACTAAACTTAAAACAAATGGGGGTGTGAGGCTGGGGCTGGGGGGATCCTCTCCAAGTTTACAAGTCCCCTGAGTCTTTGAATCTTACAAAATTACCCTTTAAGAGGGCTCTGATATTTAAAATTGCCCTGGAGGGCCTGAAATTCTGTGCCTGAAATCAATTCATTGAACAAACTATGCATTCATGTGGTGTGAAATCTGCCATAAAAATGTGTTCCATCGAGTCTGATTTTCTTCAGTCATTCAGCAGTGTTTTCAAAAATATCAATGACCTTGTGAGGTAAGCACCATTTCACCTCAAGACCACAAAATGTATTATTTTCCAAGCGATTTGGAGTCCACACTCTTAGGTGTTTATATAGTTAACTTCCAGTCCACCATGAAATGTATCAGCTTCACCAGTTTCAGATAAAATGCAGCGCTATATGATTCAATTGATCCCAACATCAATATAATAGGGCCTGAGTAAAGCTTGAGAATAGGCAAGGAAAACCCCCTCTCTTTTCAGCAGCAATAACTTTAACCAACAGCTCAACAAAGGATAAGCTGCCAAAACAGGAGAAATAAAGATTGAGCCAACAATGGATCACAGGTGATGGTATCCAAGTCTTTATGAAAGCAATAACCCATGTATCTGTTACTCTAGCAGTGTTCTGGCTGAAACCCCACTTATAATATGCTAATGTGCTTCCAGAAAGACAAAACACATTTGTGAAGGCAGTTTCCACATTGGCAGGTCAAACTGAGTGGCTGTTGGCTGGCACGTATCAGTGCTGTT